TGTATCTATTTGTTTGTATATGCTTGTGTATCTGTGTATGCGCATGTTTGTATGTGCGTGTTTGTAGGTGTGTGTGGATGTCCATCGTTCTGCAATTCAGGACTTTGAAAAACAGCAACAGAACTGTTCTCGTCAATACTATCTATAATAGTAATCCCTGCAATTGATATACTGCTTTATCTCATCTTTGGGACTTCCCAGAAATATACTGTAAAGTGAATTGACTGTATATTTGTGGGCGGAACTCGGCAGCCAATTGCGCAAAGCAATATATGTTTAAAAGATTCAAAGAAAGCTTCCCTGATACCTCAGTCAGTTAAGCTCGCTCGCCAGTAAGTCGTGCAGACCAGGAGAGTTAATCAGTCAGTGCTCATTCAACTGATCTCAGATAAAAGTGCTATAAAATGGCCTGAGTGCACTGGGCTGAGGTGCATTCAGTCCAATAAATCTCCTCAGATTTACTGTCCAATGACCATTACTGGAGAATGAGACGATCAACCTTGAAAATGTGCCTAAAGCCGAAGCTCACCATCGGGAATGACACACTGACCACTTGGGTGAGCTGCTGGAGGGCACGTGATATAATACATGCTACTACCAAGTTAAACATCTGTGAACTGTACCCGAGCATGGATCGTTGTTTTCAGGAAATTGAGAAGAGAAAGAAAGACAACGTGTTTTTTCGGGGGAGTCAGAGGAATTAGCTTATGGCTCTCTGCTGCAACAGCACATGGTGCAACAACTTCATTGCACTCAAAGAAAAAAAACTACTTCACATAGCAATAGATATAACCATTTGTTCATTCACTTCTTGTGATTTGGTTTCTTAAAATAAAGTCCGCTGGAGAATTGCACTGGATAATACAAATGTTTCGATGATACTCCCAAGTTAAACACATGTGGAGCAACAGCTGTCAATACAACGTTCATCATAACACATGGTCTACAAAACACTCCAGAGAACCATTTATTTGTTTTTTATATTTCCAGTAAACCGTACCAGATTTCTCTGCTAAAACCTCGGCAGATCTTTTATCTTTAAAACACTGGAGGCACCGAAAAATTAAATTTTTAAGAGCCGGACACAGCTGTTTGAAAAGCATAAAGTACTTCCAAACAATTATTTTCTAAACCTGCACAATGCTGTCATGTCAATCCCCCTCCAATCGGCTAACTTGGGCTTGCTGCACAATCCCACCCTTTCTGTACCATGATCAATGGCCGAGTCTTGAGATTCTACAACCCTAACCTTTGGAACTGTGTCTCTCTGCCCCTCCATCTTTAGCTATCAAGTCCTCCCTTAAAATAATAATCCTTGCATTTGATATAGTGCCTTATCACGTTGTTGAGACATCCAAAGCGCTGCACAGAATATACTGTAAAGTGAACTGACTGTATATTTTGTGGGCAAAACGCGGCAGCCAATTGCACATAGCAATATCCCACAATCAGTCGTGGATTGGCTGACTACATTGACTGAATCCCTTTTTTTTGAAGGAATTATTGCTTCTGGAAAAGTGATCTGCCAATCGACTAACAATCGGGTGATTACTTACTGCTAGGTAAAGAGAGGCGTGTGCAGTAAGGAAACTTGCCTAAGCTTTCGCCCTGCCTGGGAATCGAACCCGGTTCCTTTAACGTGTTGAGGCGAGTGCTCTAACCAACATGGTACAGGACTCCACATTTTTGACCACACTTCAGGTCACCTCCCCCAACCCTTACTGAAGCATCTGACCCTGTCACTGCAAAGCAATCTGAGACATTACCCTGCAATATATATCTAAGTTGTTATAGTCCATCCAAAATTAAGAACAAAATGTCAAGTTGGAAATGTTGGTCACAGAAGTGCTTTGCTGTCCTCAGAATTCCCCTTGCTTAGCATCCACAAAGTATTAAAACGGTTGGGAATTCAGAGCTTCAGCTCCAAGGGTTCAAGGCAGCAACACCCAGACCTAGAGCACAGCCACTATTTGATTCTAGTTTCTCACAACTTAAAAAGCGCATCATCTGCACTGCCAATTGCTTTAACATTATGTGCACTGTGGCTTTGGTGGAGGAAATGGCTTGTTAAAAGATAATATATACATATTTTGAAGGCTCGTTTGGCATCAAGTCAAGCTTGAAAGATGCTGAACGCACAGTAAGAAAGGAAGTGGTACAAGCAAAAATTGTATTTTTTAAGCCAATACAGATGTCAAGTGTTCATCTGATAATGAAAACTAAATGCCAATGTTTCATTGCTCTTATTGCTATCAGGCTTACTGCAGAAGACACGCCAACATTTGGGCACACAAGGCCATGCCAACAGGCCTGCCAAGACGAATGGCCAATTGTTTTTTCACTCAATTACCACTTCTCATTGATTGTATGGAAAATTGTGGGGCTGGACTGTATTAAAAGCATTGAGCCGACATCCCAAACCACAAGTTCAAGCAGTTTATGTAAACCACCCAGGCACTCCCGAGATTGTTTTACAGCCCGCAGCTCACTCCAGCCAAACTGTTATTTTATATAATTCAATACAGGGTATATCATCTCATTTACAACTCTTGGGAAACAGTGTTCAGACCCACCATTGAGCAACAAGGCACTGGGTATCTGTACACTCCCAAACTCACTTGAGGCAGTTTCTGAATCTGAATAGTTTGTGGGCTCATAGATACCACTGGTATGTTTTCATTGTTCTTCTCTTCTGTGAGATGTCCATTTGATGTAGGCACCAATGAGCTATTTACACCACATGCCAGGAGGCAGTGGTGCAATTAGGGGATGATTGCAGTTCTCTAGTACATTAGTTCACACCATGGTTTCAAAAAGAAACATTCCTGCATGCAATGCGGAAACAACGCGTGGCAGATAATTTAAAGGCTTTAAAGGCAGATTCTTAGTAGATTATTTTATGGGATACAGCGAAAAAAAGGGAAATTTTTTTAAATTGGATTAAAACAATGACGAGTTGCCATGAAATAATAAAAAAATGGAACAGACTCAGTGGATCAAATAACTTCCTCCTATTTTTATGCTCCTAGATCAATAGATTCCAGATACATATATGCTGTAGATTGTATTGAAGTTGTTTCCACTTGTTGGTGAGTCCAAATCAAAATGCATAAATAGCTGATGGAGATCTAAAAGCGAGTTTTGGACGAACTTCTTTATGCAGAGATTGGCGAGAATGTGGAACACCTGCCGGAAGTCTGCAGTTGAAGCTGAAAGTATCAACGTATTTAAGAAAAAACAATGCGTCTATGAATGAGAATGGGAATGGGCGATTAGGAGGGGTGAAAGATCACATGGATTAACAACACAACAAAATTACATTTGTATTGCATCTTTCATGTCAGGAGGACGACGTTCCAAGGCGCTGAACACAGACTAGTTGTGGAAAATGGCTGGTTTTGGCGCTGTCGCATTCCATGTTAATTTTTGTTTTCATTGTTTTCTGTTGCCAAAAGCATCAGCCATTTTGCATACAGTAAGGTCCTGTATATAGTCTCGAGGGAAATGACCAATTAACCGAAGAAATTATTTTTGAACAGTGTCGCTAGATCTTTAACATCCATCTTAACAGGAAGACAGGGCCTCAGTTTAACTTCACACCACCAAAATGCCAATGCTCCCCCAGGCCTGCATTGTGTTATTCTGGACTATAAACTTAACTTGAACCTACAACCTTTTGACTCCGAGGTAAGAGGATTCGAATGAACAAGTTAAGGGTCAGTCTTGAAAGCAGGCATCTCAGAGGGGATAGATACATATCTTAGAGATGTATAAAAGTTTACATGAGATTGAGAAAGTAAACCCAGGACAAAACTTTTGGATGCACCGAGATATAAGAACAAGGGAACATATGTGTTATACAAATGGAATTTGTTGTTGATGGTGGTGGTGTTTGAGGATGCAAACAGCAGTTTCAGGACATACAACAGGAAATAATTTCTAACAATTGGAACAAGTTAACAGGAAGGGTGGTTAAGGTCAGAACATTGGAATCACTTTAAAAAACTGCCTGAAGGTGAGATTGGGAAGACTGTAGGGTAGGTGGGTATTCTGGAATGATGAGATCAAACGGGCCGAAGGGCCTTCTTCATCCGAACCTTTCTTGTGATCTTGTGAACAGAGCTACCTCAATTGAGAATGCACTTCCAAGTGCAGGCAGTAAGCTTCATCACTGAGCCATTAGCAAAGAAAGGAACCAAAATTTTAAAAAGGGCAAGATACCTAGATAATTAGGACAAGTTACAGGGCTATGGGGAAGAGAGTGGGGGAGTGGAGTAGGATTGATTTTGATAGCTCTTTTCAAAGAGCCGGCACAGATATGATGGGCCAAATGGCCTCTTGTGCTATATAATTCGATGGTTCTATGATGAACTTCAATGTGATCTTCCTTTAACTATCAACCACAATGTTCACACCATTCTGCTGAGGGAATGCGAGGCAACTGGTCAGATATTTTGGTTAAATATTGAACCCCAGAAAGTGATGAAGCTTTTCTGCAAAAGGTATCGCCAGGTCACATCCAGCTGAAGATGTTTTCTACAAGAGCAGAATGGAACAATACTGCATTTTGATAAAAGTTATCACTTCATCAAAATGTCGCAAAGTGCTTCACAGGATTTATTATAAGGTATCAGGACTGTGTATATTGTAGGGAAATGCAGCAGCCAATTTGCACTTAGCATTGTCCCACAAACAGCCATGGAGGAATGCCTAAGTTTTATCTAGGCGATTGATGGTAGGATATTGACACATCTGAATAGCGTCACTAAATCTACATGTCGTCCTGAAAATGTAGACAATATCTCTATTTTATGTCTCATCTGAAGAATGAATCATCTCTGACGAACTCTAGCACTCTAAGAGTGTCAGCCTAGACAACGTGAGTTCAAAGTCCTGACGTGGGCCTTGAACTCACAACTTTCTGTTTGAGGCGAGTGCGCCAATTTAGCCAGCTGACACTCGAACAAGACTCATTATGGCAAAACTACAACTTGGGGTACCTGGGCATTCAGCAACTCTTCACACTCCCGGGCTTGTTTCTCTATGGCTGATTGTAGGTGTTTACCACTGGTCTCTTGTTGCTCCAGCATAGTGACCTTCATTAATGCCTTGAAACAAAGAAAACATGCCAAGTCAAACAGAAATCAAGCGTGGCTGCATTTATTTCTTCCATTTATTTTGATATTAAAAACCTTTTTTTCAAAAAAAGGCATAAAATATAACTGGAAATTGACCACTAAGAAAATATTTGCACCGGTGTATTGAGTCTCTTGATCTGTTACACTTATTAATAAGATTGAAGCAATGTAATTCAAAGCGAACGGAATTGCCCCAGTTGAAATTATTGCATGGTTGCTATCCCAGCCAGCATTCCCAATTCAAAGGTTCCTTCTCGTGCAAATACACGCACATTACAGGCAGCTGGGAAGGTTGTGGGTTCGCCTTGACTAAAGCGGACTCGATTTACTGATCTGAAGGCAGACCACACAGGACGCAGGCAAAGGAAAGCTGCTGAGGGAAGACGCCACAGACATATTTCACTGACTGACAGACAGATACCACATCCTCCACACATTAAGCCCCACATGCTATGAAATCCCATGGGGCAGTACGAAGTGAAAAACTACAAGTAAAAGCAGATGGATGTTCCAACAAGTGGAGCACGAAAGGCATCACAGCCGAAACCCTGTGGTGTGGGCAAGGCAACAGGATCGTGGCATCCCATGCAACTCCATTCCAAGACATCCATTATAGGGACAGCAAAGCTCAAGGCAAAGCATTACACAATGAGAATGTATATCCCAGCCCTGTTCAAACACATTGGAGATGTCTGTGTGTGTGCGCATGTTAGTTGAAGACATCTGAAGAAAAGCTAGCCAGCTGTAGAACTTCACTGAACACCACCCCCCACCATCACTGAGATACATTTAACATAGTGTGGTGGGAGAAAAATGGTAAAAAAAAACACAAAGAAAGAGAGACAAAGACATACAAGCAAAAAAAAAAACACTCTTGAAAAACAAGGTCCCATCCTGTTCCCCCAAGCCTGTTCAGGTTAGACATAATGCTTCTGGTGTCCAAGTCAACAATTCCCCTCAATATTGGACATTCACTTCATTGCTGCTTGTGCAATGTTATTATGTACAAATTAGCTGCCATACTCACTTATAAAATAAATGTCCATAACAATTTACAATAAATCTTGTGTAGCACTTCGAGATGTCCTGCCCACATGAAAGGTGCTATGGCAAATGCAAAGATTATTAATTTAAATGATCTTGCAAGTCATTCCAACCTAAAGAAACAGCAAGAATTTACAGGAGGAAACCCAAGTTGGAACTGTTACCACTATAAGGATTCCAGGTTTAAGCGCCATCCTTAATCACAGTCAGAAGATTGAAACACTGCTCTCAGGTTCCTTTCTACATCCTAGGCTCAGTTGAACACATTAGTGTACAATATAAATCTTCAGGCTTCACTTCCTTTCCTCAATCAACAGCAAAGGTCCAAACTGTTTGTGGGACACTGCTGCGTGCACTTGGCTGCCGCGTTTCACTCACTGTCAATCTACGTTACAATATAATCTGTGAAGAGCCTTGAGACGTCTCGACAACGTGATAAAGCGCGATGTCAAGTGCGAACATTATTATTATTATGTACCAGAATTCAATGTTCCTGTGATGTCTTCGGCTTTCTCAATGTAACAAAATGCAAATAGAATCATAGAATCGTGCAGCACAAAAAGAGGCCATTCAGTCCATCGAGTTTGTGCCGGCTCTTTGAAAAGAGCAATGTAATGTCAATCCCACTCCCCAGCCCTTTCCCCATAACCCTGCAAACCCGTCCTCCTCAAATACCCGTCCACCGTGTTTTTAAAAGTACTTATCTAATCAGCCTTGACCACCCTTTCAGGCAATGTGTTCCACATTCAAACAACTCGCTGCGTGAAAAAATTTCTTCTCACCTCCCCTTTGCTTCTTTCAGATACTATTTTGAATCTGTGACCTCAAGTCACCGACACACAGACCAGTGGAAATAGTTTTTCTCTTTCTAACCTATCAAATCCACTCATGATTTTGAAGACCTCTATTGGGTCTCCTCATAATCTTCTCTGCTCTGATGAGAATAATCCCAACCTCTCCAGCCTTTCCTCATGATCAAGGTCCCTCATTCCTGGTACCGTCCTTGTAAATCTTCTCTGCACCCTTTCCAATGCCTTAACATCCTTCCTATAGTGTGGTGCCCAGAACTGGGCACAGTATTCTAACTGAGGCCTAACCAGTGTTTTATATAGGTTAATCATAACCTCCTGACTCTTGTACTCTATGACCCTATTTATAAAGTCTAGTATCCCATATGCCCTTTTTACTGCTTTATCTACCTGTCCTGTCACCTTCAAGGATTAATTTACCTGAACCCCCAGGTTTCTCTGTTCCTTCACTCCCCCCCTTAAGATTGTATTACCAGCCTATATTACCTCCCCTCATTCTTTCTACCAAAATGCATTACCTCGCATTTCTCCACATTGAAATTCATCTGCCATATGTCTGCCCATTTTACCATTCTGTCTATGTCTTCCTATAGTTGGCTACTATATTTCTCACTGTTTACCACCCTAACTTTGTGTTATCAATAATGATAACGAGTATCAATAATGATAATCCTTGCATTTGATACAGCACCTTTCACGTAAGGAGGATGTCTCAATGTGCTTACCAGATAGTGCTCTCCTGAGGTTGAGGCAAAGGAACACTATAATTACAGAGAATTTTAGAGAAGATTAAATATCCCCAACATCGCTTTCCACAACTGTCTAAGAAAAGCTTGATGTTGACATTAGGCAATGACTTCACTCAGCACTGGCACAACTCAACTCACTGACCACAATTCATCACAAATGAAGAGAACCACTCATCATCCAATCTCCTTGTTTACCTCACACACCCTATGTCACCAGACAAATGCTCTCGGTCACAAGTCAGATTTTAGACACTTGCCACATAAACAAATGAACCTCAATAGCCATTCATGGTTGCAGGGGCGGGAGGAAGAACGTTTTTCATACAGAGGGTTATTGGAATGCTTGGCACAAGTAGTAATTGAAACTCAATGGGTAAACTTTTTTGTTAGTCAGCCAAGTATCTGGCATATTATCACCATGTTTAAAAGTATCCAAATCAGACAGATTTCCACACAATATATCTACAAAATTTAGACATTTTGGCAAACGGAGATGACTGTAAGTTTATTTTTCTACTCAATAAAATCAGTTCATGGTATTTTTCCAGCTCCTTACAACATGCTTATTATAAAAATAACTAAAGGAAGTAAAAATACTAACAATGGACAAAGGCCATCCCTGCTTAAGACCAACTGAAGTAAGCCACCCTCTTAGCTTTAAAGACAAGTAAGAAGAATGGGTGAGGCCTTAGAAGAAAGTGACAGCAAAAACAATTCAGTGGATCTGACTGCTTCCTCCTCCCTAGTAATACTACCATATTGGAGACGCCCATTCAGGCCATCATCTTTGTCATACTCAGAGCGTAACTAATGACAGGAACAGGGTAGTCAAGGGCAACACACTGGATTCATTTTTTAAAAAAAGGCTTGCTGCTGTGATGGGAAGTTGATTGGGCGAGTATTTTACAAATTCGATCCATTCAAATGGGTCGAATGAGCTTCTTCATCCAAACTGATCTTGTGATCCTGTGAATTGTAGGGTGCCTCATATTTGTAAAGTATGATCTCCATTCAGAGAATTGAGAGAGAAAAACTACAGATTTTACCACAGCTGTGAAAGACCTACTTATCTCCAAAATCCTCTCACTAAAAGCCAGTCACAATCGGAATGAATTCACAAAAACAACCTGCCTGTCAAACCAAAATATCTGTCCTTTCACCAGTATCGCATCCATCTTCACAGACCTGAGACCAGACTCGTCAAACACACGTTAAAGTGGAGGACTGTATCCATGATAACAGGCATTGGTAAGACTAAGTGAAGGTTCACAAGAGCCACAACATGCTCATTTTAAGATGCTGACAGATATATACCTTGAAATGTGGGCAACATTGACAAAAATACTATCTGTAACCTGAACAAATTTACAAAGGAAGTCATGGAAATGATCCAAATAAGCAGTCTGAGAGATCGAACAAATTTAAACAGTCAACTTAAACCAAACATTTAAAAATGGCCCGATTTTTGTAACTTCACAGAATTATGTTTGCACAATCAGATTACCAAATATAATAATGCTGTTGTATTTTGGTACAAGGGCACTATTTTTAAATCTGCTTTTTGCAGTGATGCTTAGCTTTTGGCATGACAAAAATTTAACACAACATTTAGAAAGGTTAAAGTTGACGAGAAATGAACAGCTGATCTTCACTAGTCTGGATTGCAAAACGTCCTTCACATCTCTGTCCCTGTTTCTGTCATACTCACACAGACAAACAGAGAGTGCAACATAAGATTGCAGATTAATGATCTTGGTTGTTTTGCATCCACCTTCCTGGGCTCAGGTTTCACTGAGCAGAAGCTTGAAAAATTAAAACCCTTGAAGAAATTTTGAAAATGCTGTTGAGATCAAACAGATCATTTTATCCACTTTCCACCACCCACCCTCCCCAGCAACCCTCTTGTCTCTGAGATGTTTGCTCTTTTTATCCGTCGCCTCCGCTCAGATCTCCCAGTCTCCACCCAACACAAACAATACAATATGAATTTACAATTAAATAGCTCCTTTTACATAGGAGGACTTAAGACACAGGACAATGTAAGGTTTCCATGTGAGCTGGGGGTTGGCAAGGGGGTGAGGGGAGAAACGTTGGCCGAAAGTGCAGTCCAAGAGGAAGGTCTTGAGGTAGACCTTGAAGGAGGCGAGAGAAAGGGCAAGGCGAAGGGACTCTAGGATGAAGTTCCAGAGAGTGGGGGCATATATACTGATAGCCCGACCACCAATGGTGGGTGGGAAACATGAAGCAGGCTGAGCATAGGTAGCAACTGGGTTTTGTAGGGTTTGAGGAGGTTGCAGAGATAAGGTGGGGCATGACCGTGGAGGGATTTAAAGGTTAGAATGAGGATCTTGAACTTGATCCACGGGGA